TTGGTCGACAGACTCGGCATTCACAATTAGTCAAACCGTTTAGGAGGAGTTCAGTAACATACTTGGTATAACTTTGATACTTTAGAGCAGGGGTTGGCAACCTTTTGAACTAAGCTGGCCATATTTTTTTTTCAAATGTTCATCAAATTTTACATATGATATATATAATACTAATAATTTTATTGCTATTATATTTGATTATTTTACATAGAAATATGAGTGTAAAAAAATACAAATGTTACTGGAAAAAATTGCTTTTAAGAAGGGTGTCCGGGCCCCTGCTTTAGAGTTAAATTATAAAGTTACTTACAAACAGCACGGGGTCCGCGATCTACCTCAGGTAGATTGCCTACCTGATAATATACTGCTGCGAATCAGAATTTTTATCCCAGGCAACTGAAGAGTTAAGATAAATTTTGAACACCATACACCGAATATTAAATAACGAATTGAACAAAGTTTGAGTCGTATAGTATTGGTACATTTAACGGGAAACGAAGTGCACGGGATCAGCTTGTATATTCATATTATTATCATGTATTTATGTTATATACGTGCTACAGAAATGTATTACATTTTCCACTAAATACCTATCGATAAAGGTCGAACCACCTATTTGTCTTATTTTTTTAGTTATGCCTTGAATGAAATTTAAAGAAAAAAAATACGACTGACAGGATACACAATAAACAAGGGGGGGGGGGAGGTTGAGATATGGCGAATTGGTGCTGAAATTCAGTGTTGCTAGCCATTGGTCACCTCTGCACGTTCTCCAACCTGTCCCGCGGGTTGACGAGTGTCGCTGGCGCGTTTGCCCAGACGCAAGACCAGACGCGGAGCGAGCGAAGTGAGATTTTGTGCTGCGGAACCGGTGGGGACGATCTAAGCGGCCGATGTGGGATTACCGCTGGGCGAAAAGGTGAGAATCAGCTGACCACACCTCCATCCTTGACTCTCTGTAATATTCGCCCTGGCGTTGTCGCTTCGGCCGCGTCTTCATTCCGCCACTGCGGTGAAGTCGCGCGCCTCCAGACCCTGTGAAACAGTAAGGTTTCCGCGAGTCCGGCGCCGCTGACGTCCCCGTTTTCCTAGCACGCAAATCTTCATACCACTCACACCGTGCCGAAGTATCCACCGCTGAAGTCGTACCGAGTCGGTGCACCGCTGGGCGGAATCGTTGCCCACGCCGGTACCTCTACTATAGCCGCCGCCGCTTCACTTGACCGTTACTGCAGCCATGCGCTCTCGGCGCCGCGGGTTGTCGGAGAACGTGCTCGGGTGACTTACCGTACGTGCTCTTTCTCGCATCCTCCTCTCCATTCCGTCGTGGTCATCCTGTCCGTCGCCTTCGGCCAAGGGGTGAGTTGTGGACGGTTTCTCATCGGCAGCGGCACGTACTGCGGAAAAAGCGTCTGACGCCTTTCCACCTCGTACAAGGTGGATCGCAGTTTCCGGGTGGTGCTGCTGCCGGGTCCAGCCAACCGACCAGCTCACCAAGACTATTCATTACAGCTATACCCCTGGCCGGCTCGATGTTCTCATCCAACAAGTTTTCTGGACTCAAAACGTCGTCTAGCGGTCCGCCCTCGGGAGTCGGAGTGGGATCAACAGGCGCCGACTTCGACGACTGTTCGTTCCCACACGACGACGTACAACTGCTCGCCAGTAAAAAGGAATGGTGGTCCTCTTCTGCTTCTGAAATTTTCGAATTATGGTCTTTCTGGACCTTGTTGTTGTTGTCGAGCGGTGCTGCCTCTGGGATCGGAGCAAGCTCCGCCGACTATGCTGCAGATGACAGCGCATCGACGCTCGGCAATCCATCACTGTGCAAGGAGACAGACTCCTCGACGTTTTCGTCCAATTCTTTTCTACCTGCGCCTCCAAGAATCGGAGTTTGTCCGTCCGACTCTGGGGTCTGATCGTCGCCACTTGCAGTAGTTGAGCACGTGTCAATGGCAGACAGATAAAGAGTAACTAAACGCACGAGGTAATGAGGTAATTTCGTCAGCGTAAGTGATTTCTATTATGTTGACTACAATGTCTTCTAAGATTTCGAGTAATATGACGTTTACCGCGTCGCGGTCGATGTTATAATAGTTAGTTACCATTTTTTATTTTTTGAGTGAAGATAATAATATGTTCGTGTACTTTAGGATTTAGTTGATAATTGATTGGTATTGAGCTAAATACAAATATTCTAACGCAGAGACCGATATCCGAGAAAATCTCCTAGACGACGACGTGTATTACACTATTACCTACTAGCCAGCTAGTATGTTTATCTGAATGGCGGAAAAAAAAGTCTCGGTAAAAAAAGTCCCACACTAGGAAAAAAAAGTCCCGATAAAAATGAATGAAAATATATCAAAAGTGAAGTATAAATAATAAATATATTAAAATTGTATTGAAAAATACATTAAAGTTACATAAAAAATTATATAATATCATAAAAAATGTTAATTAATTACTTACAGTACCGGATCTAGGGGGGGGGGGGCGATCCGGGGCCCATGCCCCGGGCGCTTATCATAGAGGGGCGCAAATTTCAAATTTTAAACTCATCATTTTTATTACATTTATCTTTTTTTTTGAAGTACACAAGTTTTTCAAATAAATAGTTTTAATTCAATGTAGTCATACTGGTTATGATTAAGAAAAGACATTCGACATATTATATCATATTATACTTTCGATTTTATGATTTTGCTGAAAATAGCCAAAAACACAATCGGGGCAATCTGCAATTGAGATAAACTAATGTTGTATAATTGTATCAGTCAGTCATAGACGAACTAATTGCACAGCGATAAGCCGATAACCAAGCATTGTGTACTCATGTGTGCGTATTTTCTGCTATTTAACAGTGGTATTTATATTTATTATAACAGTGTTTAGCGTTCACTTCACTGTTCACTGGACGGTATCTAATGAATGTTACAGTTTAAGTATAAGTGTTACAGTATATTTTTTTGTGATGGAACCAAAAAAAAAATTATCTGGTTTTAAGTTCCGGCAAAAAGCTCTCGAAAAAAAAAAAGAAAATGAGCGAACTTCGGCGTATTTTCATAATTGGCTGGGTAATACGAGTACTAACACACAATGTAGCACAGGTTAGAAATTATTCATAATTATTATTCTCTATTATAATTAATACTAGATCTATATTGTATTATAATAATTAATGACGTAATTTAGTATTATTATTATTTATTACTATCGATATTATAATATACGTATTATTTTAGAATTTAATACCTAACCGGGAATTTGAAACAGGTATAATTTCTAAAATAATAGTTTTCGGAAAACTTTGTGAATTAATTTGTATAATATATAACTATATTTTATTGAAATAATACAGTACAATAAATATCTAATATTTTATAGAAAACGAAGAAAATGGGACAGATGTAGAAAAGGATGAGAATACTGTGAAATGTAGTTCTGGGATAATTGTCGAGGAAATTAATTCTGATCATAACAAAGCTAAGAGTCTAAATGTGTCCGAATTGATGTCATTAAAATTAAGTGAAAATGAAACTTTGGATTTTAAAGATTGTGGTACATGGCCTGAAAAAATAATAGATTCTCAAAGAACTCATATTGTTAGAATGAGAATGAACTATATTGAAAAATTGGATCTTACTAGATCTGAAAGAGAAGGGCGATCTGTTAATGTTTCTTGGTTTTTCAAAAATCTTGTTAATGGAAATCAATGTCGTCGAACTTGGCTTAGCTACTCCAAATCAAAAAATGCATTATTTTGTGTACCATGCAAATTGTTTTTAAATTCAAATGAAAAAAATATGTCAAAAATAGCATTAGATGGTGTTTACGCCCGAGAAACAATTTGTTTTTGAGGTGATTAAGAAGTTTGGCCTATGTCACACCTGCCGCCTACTATTTCGTAGGTAGGCAACCATTTGTGCTTTCGCCTAATGTTTGGTGGGTAGGCAATTCTACGCACCACGACGACACCGACGACGACGGAAAAGAACTAACTAACGAAGGAGTGAGGAAGGTGCAGGCTAGTTATGGGGAGGGGGTCTCTGTGGCCGATTCGGTTTGGTGCAATGACCACAGAGCTCACAACAATAGGGATAATCCTTAAAAACTAACTTAACCCTATTGTAGTCTTGAGACGACCCACTGACTGACGATGTTGGTGTACGTCGACCTGGACGACCTGGGGCGGCCTCTCACACAACGTATGTACCTACGTTGCTGGCGGACTTACGCGCGGAACCGGACGGCACCGACGATGTTGGTGTACGTCGACCTGGACGACCTGGGGCGGCCTCTCACACAACGTATGTACCTACGTTGCTGGCGGACTTACGCGCGGAACCGGACGGCACCGACGTTGACACCAACGAACTCCCAAGGATGACGATGAGAATAGAATAAATAAAGACTTACGATTTTGTTTGATCAGCGTATCTTTATTTGCAGCTCCGATCATTCGCACAATATATATATAAATAATAATAATTTGGCAACCGTGTGCACTTGAAGATATAGAATAACAAATGAATATTTGTGGTGCTCGCTTTAATAGCGGACCCAAACATACAAATCGCGGATCGCTGTACTAGCAATTCACAATAGTATAATATGTTTTTTAATAATAATATTTTGATCGCTATATGAGCGGATCATAGAAAAAATATATATATGGACGCTGTACTAGCGGAATCAAAAAACAAAAAACACGAACAAAAATTGTAGGGCGTTGGCCGAAGAATGTAAAAAATAAAATCATAACACTAATGATACGAGTAGTTGATAATATGATGTGGTAACAGATGACCAATAATTCACACGAAAAATAATAACAAAGATAATAAATAAACATAGTAATTTTGAATAATAATAATACAATAAATGATGGACGGAGTGGTGTTTGGATACGCAGGGAAAGATCGCCGTCGCGCAGTGCCGTGCCTGCGATAAGCTAATTGCTTGGCGCAAACATCACCGCCCACTTTGAAGGGATGACTTCAAGGAGAAGGTAGAGGACAAAGCTTGACAGCAGGTCTGGTCAGGAGGCCCGTTGCAGTTCGAACGGTTGCAACGCGGGAAACTCCGTCCGATCCAGGATGCAGCTTTACGATTCGTCCGAGGGGCCAATGAAGAGGAGCCGTGGGCTCTTTGATCAGGACAAGATCATCAAGAGCCAATTTCCCTTGATTGTCAGACCATTTTCTCCGGTGTTGTAGACTGGATAGGTACTCATTTTTCCATCTCGACCAGAAGTGGCGATGCAGGTCAGTGATGAGACGCCACCGTTGCATCTTAGACAGTGGAAGTGAGTCTATGTTGGGTTCAGGCAGATTTGCTGAAGGCTCGAGGGTTAAAAAATGGCTGGGCGTTAAGGCAGAGAGATCAGACGGGTCATTACTCAAAGCGCCTAATGGCCTAGAATTCAGCGTGGCTTCAACTTGGGCGAGTAGTGTCATTAGTTCTTCACTGGTTAATCGATGTGTGCCAACTGACCTGAGAATCAGTGCCTTGGCAGATTTGACACCAGCCTCCCACAACCCGCCGAAATGTGGTGACGAGGGAGGATTGAAGAACCATTTTACACCCGTTTTCGCTAACTGTTGATGTGCTCGATCTTGAAAGGAACTTGAGTGAAGGAAGGTTTTCAACGGAGTCAGGATTCGTGATGCACCCACGAAGTTTGTGCCACAATCACTATGCATTTCGCGGACAGGACCACGTCGAGCGACAAAGCGAGTAAATGCTAATAGAAAAGTCTCGGTGCTCAGGTCAGAACTCAGCTCCAGGTGTAGTGCCTTGGTAGCTGTGCACACAAACAAACAGATATACGCTGACATTGAAGCAGAGGAGCGTCCGTGCGAACGTTTTATCAGAACAGGACCAGCATAATCTACTCCCGTGATCGAAAATGGTTTTATTTGCTGAACACGATATTTGGGTAACGCAGCCATTTTTGGTTCAATGATTCTTGGTCTTGTTTTGAAGCAAGAGATACATAACCGGAGACGAGAGCGTATAGTTCGACGAGCTGACTGAATCCAATACTCTTGTTGTAGATGCGATTGTAGGGTATGAGCACCAGGATGTTTCAACCGAATGTGATGATGATCAATTATCAGTTTGGTCAACACATGAGACGAAGGTAAGAGAGCTGGATGCTTGTGCGCATATGGAATATTGGCATTTGTAAGTCGACCGCCCACTCTGACGATACCAGATGGGTCAAGGAACAAATCCAAACTACGAAGGTCCTTGGATGGGCGAACACGCTTGGACAGTTTGTCAATATCGTCAGAATAGGCGGTGCGTTGTGTGAAATATATCAGAGCAGTCAATGCATGTGCTAGTTCATCGGCACCTATAGCAGTAGAAAGCAGAGGTGCAGCACGTGTTGGTCCAAATCGAAGTACATATGCAATTATACGGAGGATTTTGTCGAGAGACGAGTAACGTTCTAATAAATCATTTATCGACGAGTTGATGAGCACGTGAAGCACAGTGGCCTTTCTTGATTCATACTGTTGAGCTGTGAGATCAGTAGGTTGATTCACTGGTGTTGGCGGCCATGTCTGAGAAACTTCTAATAGGTATGGAGGACCAGTCCACCATAGGGGGTGAGTGACTAGTTCAGACGGAAACAGTCCACGCGAAGCACAGTCAACGGGATTTTGTTGTGTGGGTACATAGCGCCAAATAGAGGGAGAAGTTAGTTGCTGAATTTGACTCGTGCGGTTTGCTATGAACGTGGCCCACTTGTGGGGGGAAGACTGAATCCAGACCAGTGCAGTTGTAGAGTCGGTCCATGCATGTTGTTCATCAATTTTGAGTCGATCCGCATAAACGCTGACAACAAAATGGAGTAACCTCGCAGCTAAGACAGCTCCACACAATTCGAGCCGAGGGATTGTACATCGTTTTAAAGGAGCGACTTTAGACTTTCCAGCAACTAGATGACAATGCACCGAAGTGGGTGATTCAATTCTTAAATATACGGCGGCAGCGTAGCCTTTTTCTGAACTATCAGAGAATGCATGCAATTGCACAGAAGTCATATTGTCGTATGTTAATCGACGACGAATTTGAATATTAGTAATTAGATGAAGTTCCGACTGATATCTCGACCATTGTTGTGAGATTTCTGCAGAGACAGGATCATCCCAACCAATGCCATCAGTCCATAGTCGTTGCATCACATGTTTTGTCCATAAAGTAATGGGTGATAGGAGTCCTAACGGATCAAAAACTCGAGCTATGTCCGAAAGAATTGATCGTTTTGTTGGACTTTTGATTGTTGGGTGTCCTTTAAAGGAAAATGTGTCTGACAGAGGATCCCACTTGAGACCAAGAATCTTTAAGTCTGGATTTTCACTAGCATCAAAAAGCACTGATGGTGCCATTGCACGAGCATCTTCACTGACAGCATGCAAAACTTCACTGCTATTACTGGCCCATTTCCGGAGATCAAATTGTGCACGTGAACATAGTTGAATGAGCTGTTGTTGACACTCGAGCGCTTCTGATATTGAATTGGCTCCTGTGAGAACGTCATCAACAAAGGTATCATTTAAAAGAATTGTAGCGGCTCGTGGAAAGGTGGCACCATCAACCATGGCCAACTCGCGAATAGTACGAAGTGCTTGAAACGGAGCTGCCGATGTGCCATAGGTCACGGTACAGAGCCGATATTCTTCAATAGGAGAGTTACATGAAAAACGCCATAAGATACGTTGGTAGTCTCTATCATCTGGGTGGACAAGAATCTGTCGATACATTTGTTTGATGTCTGCAACAAATACATATTTCCAAAGGCGGGCCCGGAGCAGTACAATCTGTATATCTGGCTGAAGCTTAGGACCTACATACATGCTTTCATTCAGGGAGACACCGTTTGTAGTCTGAGCAGACGCATTAAAAACAACTCGTAATTTCGTTGTTGTACTATCAGGTTTCAGAACGCAATGATGTGGAATGTAATATTTATAAGCAGTATCAACGGTTTCAGGTGGAATTAATTCCATATGGCCAGCTGTTAAGTAGTCCTGCATAAAATCCACATATTGTTTACAAAGATCTTCATTTTTTCCTAAGCGTAATTCAAGGGCCTTCAAACGCTGAAGTGCAATGGCCTTTGAATCCCCGAGCAATGGGAGAGGTTTGCGAAACGGAAGTCTAACCATGAATCTTCCAGACGCAAGACGAGTCGTTGATGACTTATAAAAAGTTTCTGCTTCAATGTCTTCGGGGCTTAGATGAGGGACTGAAGGTAGCTCTTCAATTTCCCAAAATGCTTTCAATGTCTCATCGAGCGGTTCTGATATGGATAGACATAGGGACACTGTATTGCGTTGAGCATGAAGGTTTACAGGCCCAATGAGAATCCAACCGAAAACTGTTTCGATTGCCATCGGTTCTCCTTTTTGTCCCTCTACTGTACCCTTGAGCAACAAGGAAGGTAAAATATCAGCACCCAAAAGTATATCAATTTCACCTGGGGTGTGATATGAGGGATCAGCCAATTGCAGATCAACAATATGAGGCCATTTCCCCGGAACAATCGGCTGTTGAGGTGTACATTCAGTAATTTGTGGAACAATTAATACATCAACGGGGACCGATGGAGTTAATCGACCTCTAGGGGTAATAACTATTGTGGACTTGCTACGAACAGGAGTACACGTAGTGCTATTAAAAGAGGAAATATTTACGGATGAACGATCTCGACGTAGCATTAATGAGCAAGCAGATTTTTCCGTAATAAAACTCGCCTGCGAGCCACTATCGACCAGTGCTCGAAATGATTGACGAGATCCATCACGAGCAACAACTTCTAACAGGATGGTAGAAAGTAACACCACTCTGGACGGTCGTTGTCTTCTTGTGCTCAGAGAAGCGGTGTTGCAATTGACTACCGGCCGGTCTGCTGATTCTGAGGGGCCGGGCTGTGCACTAGTCGAGGCATCAAAGTGTAGAAGTGTATGGTGTAACTTATTACAAGTTTGACATTTATACTTTGATCGGCACGCCGAAGGTGAATGGCCAGGTCCAAGACAGTTAATGCATAATTGATGCGTTTTGGCCATCTTAAAACGTTCACTGGGTGTCTGATCGCTGAACAATTGACACTTCCTTATAGAATGTGTTTTTTTGCACAACGGACAGCACACAGTCGGTGCTTGACTTGACGTGGCAGATAACACCTTTTGATTGGGTCCGTATCGTGATTTATAACTATTTGGTTGAGGTGGTTTATAATGATTTTTCGTTGAGGTACACGGGGTGGCAGAACCTTTCAACTGATGTACTTCTGCTGAGCGTACGTGGCTACGCAGGAAATCAATAAACTCACTCATTTGGGGGTTTTGCTTATCTCCGACAAGAAGCTCCCAACGAGAACGCAGTTCATAATCGAGTTGATTTTCATAAAGATGTATTAGTATAGGACTCCATTGACGAGTTACGAATTCAAGATTATCCAACGCTGAAGTATGCTCAAGGATTGTAGTAATCGCAGTTTTAATTGATGAAGAATCATTCCACTTCACTTCAGGAGGCTTCAAAAGCGCGTCAAGATGTATCCGTGCCAAATCCCGTTTATTTCCATACCTCATTCGCAAAAGATCCCAAGCACTTTGGTAATTTGCTGAAGTGAGCGCGAGATGAGAAATGAGAGAGAGAGCTTCACCTTCGAGGGACGTTTTCAAGAGTTCAAATTTTTCTACGTCTGGTAATTCAGGAGCATGAGATAATATAGACCGAAAAAGATCCTCGAACCCTTGCCACTCAACAATATTACCAGAGAAAGTTGGAAGCTTGCGCTTTGGCAGTTGAAACATTGATAAATTGTTGATACCACTCGACTGGTTTAAGACTGTGTCATTGGAGGCTGAATTGTTCGATTTTGATAATGAAAATGAATGGACATCCGCAAACGCGGCAAGTTCGTAATAGAGTGTATCGAAAGACTCAATCAGTAAAGTACTACATTGATTGTCAGTAACATCAATAGGGGCAGTTTTTTGACCAACAGATGTTTCCATTATTTGGACGTCGTCCTCAACCTGGCGACGAATCTCACTCAGCTCACTCAGCATCTGCCGTATCTTGGCACGTTTACTGACACTTGATCTATCATTATTATACTCGCTGGAAGCCTTTACGAAAGTGTTTAATTTTGCTAACGCCCTATTCACTCTGCCTTTAGCGTCAATGTAATGAATTGATTGGGGGACAGTCATTTTGTCTAGTTAACCGACAGATACTATAGTTAAAACACAAGGATGGTAAGAACAAACTCGGGAAACGAGTTCGCAGAGGTAACTACAGTATCAATACAGTGTCTAATGAAACAACGCTAACTGACACCTGGCAGAACAGGAGAACGGCAATAAAATGTATAGTGGACTGTATAATCAAGATCACAATTTTCTTTAATAATGTGATCCGGCCCGAAGGACCAAAAAATGTTTACGCCCGAGAAACAATTTGTTTTTGAGGTGATTAAGAAGTTTGGCCTATGTCACACCTGCCGCCTACTATTTCGTAGGTAGGCAACCATTTGTGCTTTCGCCTAATGTTTGGTGGGTAGGCAATTCTACGCACCACGACGACACCGACGACGACGGAAAAGAACTAACTAACGAAGGAGTGAGGAAGGTGCAGGCTAGTTATGGGGAGGGGGTCTCTGTGGCCGATTCGGTTTGGTGCAATGACCACAGAGCTCACAACAATAGGGATAATCCTTAAAAACTAACTTAACCCTATTGTAGTCTTGAGACGACCCACTGACTGACGATGTTGGTGTACGTCGACCTGGACGACCTGGGGCGGCCTCTCACACAACGTATGTACCTACGTTGCTGGCGGACTTACGCGCGGAACCGGACGGCACCGACGTTGACACCAACGAACTCCCAAGGATGACGATGAGAATAGAATAAATAAAGACTTACGATTTTGTTTGATCAGCGTATCTTTATTTGCAGCTCCGATCATTCGCACAATATATATATAAATAATAATAATTTGGCAACCGTGTGCACTTGAAGATATAGAATAACAAATGAATATTTGTGGTGCTCGCTTTAATAGCGGACCCAAACATACAAATCGCGGATCGCTGTACTAGCAATTCACAATAGTATAATATGTTTTTTAATAATAATATTTTGATCGCTATATGAGCGGATCATAGAAAAAATATATATATGGACGCTGTACTAGCGGAATCAAAAAACAAAAAACACGAACAAAAATTGTAGGGCGTTGGCCGAAGAATGTAAAAAATAAAATCATAACACTAATGATACGAGTAGTTGATAATATGATGTGGTAACAGATGACCAATAATTCACACGAAAAATAATAACAAAGATAATAAATAAACATAGTAATTTTGAATAATAATAATACAATAAATGATGGACGGAGTGGTGTTTGGATACGCAGGGAAAGATCGCCGTCGCGCAGTGCCGTGCCTGCGATAAGCTAATTGCTTGGCGCAAACAGATGGGTTTATTAATTGGAAAAAATTTTCAGAAAGAATACCAGAACATGAAAATTCTAATATTCATAAAAAGTATTTTTGTTCGTGGAAAATGCTGGAAATGTCAATTTGTGAAGGTAAAGGAATTGATATTGATTTACAAAATGAAATAAAGTTAGAAGAAAATCATTGGAGATTAGTATTAAAAGCAATAATTGACATAATTATGCATCTAGCAATGGAGAACAGTGCTTTTCGTGGAACTGACGAACTTGTTTCTAATATAGGTAAATCTAATCAAAGTGGGAAATTTTTAAATCTAGTAAATTTAGTATCTCATTATAACGAGCCTCTAAGAATTCATCTTGAACGTCATAAAAAAGGAAGTGTTACATATTTTTCACATGAAAATGTAATTAAGTAATTTACTTAAATCACATATTAAAATATAATAAAATTTAATTTAATACAAGTCCAAAATAATAAAATGTTATACAATAATCAATAATAAATACAATTATAGTATCTATATAATTACAATAAAAATGCTATAAAATAATAAAAGTGTAATATTATAATTAAGTATGTACACCTCTTTCTTGTGTTATGACTTACGGCTGTTAAAAAGGACTGTTTATAGGCAGGTATACATATAACATATTATCATACCAAAAACTTTGTTTTTATGTAATGTTCCTAATCAAACTTCAATTTATAAGTATCTATAGTAATTTCGAATATATTTATTAGTCTACTACATTTGAAAAACCATCCAGGATGAATTTCTATTATAACAAACTAAAATTTTTTTTTAATTACCTCTGCAATTACCTTTCAATTTATGATGAGTAATTTATAATATGAAACTTTTTATATTTATCTATACATTTAATGTATGCCATAATATTATCATTACACTAAAACTAAATTACTAAATTACTAAATTATAGCAAAAGCCAAAAAAAATTATCTCCATTAGGGAACTTGAAAATTAAATAAATATTTTATAATATATACACTATTTAGTTTATATATGTAAGCTACATTCTACTTTTTAATATACTACTGATTTTTATGTAACAGTTATGTATTTTTCAATACAGTTTTAACATATTTATACTTCAATACATTTTGATATATTTTCATTCTATTTTTTCGGGACTTTTTTTTCCGATTACCGTTTATCTTTCTTGTCGGCCCGCAGCATTAGAAGAATTTCGAGCGCGTTAATTTTTCTAAAGACCAATATTATTAGGTAGATATTGATGTATAATATTATTATATTTATACCTAATATTTTAACAAGGATAGTTTCTGGTAATACGATTTGTATATTGATTCTGTGACTCAATTTATACTTTTAAGTGATATTTTATATAATATGTTACAGGCAAAGTAGGAAATTGAGCATTGTTCAATTAGATTTGGGCACTGTAGGTTAAATATTGAATATATTTTAAAAATTATAGAATACATCTTACTGAGTACTTAAATAAACATAAAAAAAACTTGAAATAGATGCTTCAAATATTAGTTGCCCATTAATAATTTTTAAATCTATTATCCAATATGGAACCTACCTCTTACTGAAGAATTAATATTTTTTATCTTAAAGTTGTTTGACATGAATAAGATGATTAATGAATATTATTGATTACTATTAAATTATAGTTATTTTAATAGTTCAAATTTAAAATGGTAATGTCTCGACAACATATTATATATAGGTAATACCAATATGACTATCGTGATTATAGATACCTATAGTCATCCATAAAGCATAATCTATATAATATAATAAAATAGCCATCATTCTACTCGTATATAATATTTACTTTAATATACCAACTGACCCCGTGCACTTCGTTGCCCGTTAAAAATGCCAATTCTATACTATGATTCAAACTTTGTTCAATTCATTATTTAGTATTCGGAATAATGGTGTTCAAGATTTAAAAATGTTCTAATATTCATTTTGTAATCTGTAACCACTGATAACAATTATTTATAAACAAAAAAAAATTTTTGATTTCCATTGACCATTGTAAATCTCATAATACTTGTGCAAGAACTTTAAAATGTGAATTTTGGAAAATTATGTGTTAGTGCATATTAACATGGTAGTACGAAGATACCTTGAAGATTTGAAGTCTCAAGCTATCATTGTTTGAGCTCTACGTTGATCTGTCAGTCAGTCAGGACAGGATTGATAATATTATATTATAGCTGGGATACCCGTTCCAAAAAGGGGGGCACGTGAGATTGGCTTGTGACTATACGAGCAATATATTATAAGGTAGGCATTTGCAGTGGATTGTGAGCCCCGTGATGTGCGTATTTAATAGTTAATAGTTTATAATTTCTAACTCTAAAGTTTCAAAGTTATACAAAGTTTATCGTTTTTACTTAATCCAACCTACGGTGGATTGGATACAATATGCCATCGCTTGTTTGGTGAGTTTTTATATACCTTTACAATTTTGATATTACTCGACTTCGCGAAAAAATTATCAATAAATAAAAAATATGGCGTTATATTGGTGTATTTCGGTTTTGGTGTTCGTACGTTCAGTAGTTTTTGAGATGACTATTGTAACGATGAAAGATATTCATAAGTAGGTATATACTCTCAATATATGTATTAGTCTCATGCAGTTATTTTTTTAAATATAATTGTAAGTTTACAATTATTAAACTATAATTCATAGTTGTATGGTGTGTTTGTTTAGTGGGGAAGGTGGTTATAAAGTATAAACTGTGTTTTCTTCCAAGTGCCACCTATAGGTATGTGGACTCCAATACCCTATAGAACACTCTTGCGGTATGTTATATAGCGTTTGATAATATTAATATTTTAATTTCGGTATAGCGTATTTAGTAGTTTCAAGTGCCGTCAACACGTAGACCGTGTGCTTTAAATATAATGTCATCCCCAATGTTATAATAATTAGCATCTGCTTGCATATATATATATATAAATAGGAGTGGTGTAGGCCGTATGATAAAAAACAAAAAAATTCTCTCCGGAACACCCAAGACGACGCGATGCGCGTCAACGATTCTATTTTAAATAAGTAAGTACCTAATTTTTTCTCTCTCTCTTATTCAGTGATGAAGATACGTTCAATTTAAAAGGGACAAAGAGATGATTGAAACGCGGGAGGACGAAATTGTAAATACATTTTAAACAATGGTTTTAAAAATAAGTCTCATTCATTCCTCGTTCGGCGGCGTGTTCATCGGCGTCGTTGTGAGTAGGTACGCGTATTATTGTACGTTATATACACTCATCCGCCGTTTGCCAAACGAACAAAAGAAAAAAAAAAAGAAAAAAGAAAAAAAAGAAAGAATTTCGCCTGTCTATCGGTCGGCCAAAAAGTGCAATTCGTTTTCTATTTCGGGTACGGCGAATCTCGAGGGCACCTAAAGTATTTTATCAGTTTATTTTTTATTTTTTCCCCTTTGATTTTGGCAAGGTTCCCAGATGGAAACCAAATTTCTAAAAGGTATGCACCTCGTATACAAGCATGCACAAGCAACGGTCCGCAATGACCTTTCGATGAAAATGCGATACGTGATATTTCACGTGTGCACACATTATTATACGACACAGTCGGTAGCGCATAATATCGTGATAATATAATAATATGTAAATGGATGGCCGCATGGGTACCTACACAACATGCTTCTTCTCTAGTTCGCAACATCAGATACATCGAAAGTACGAACACTATATCGGGATAGACAAACGCACGGCGTGAACGATGGACAATACTATAGTTGTATATACAATATAGACGTATAATACGTATAATACGTATACAACTATAATATTATACAAGCGTTCTCTACTTATATTCACCATATTTGCTTGCCAGTGGCACACACTGTTTTATTTTCAGGAGCATAGACCATAATATTCAACTTATTTGTCTTAGATATACATATATATATCGCTGTAATCAATACAATAGCTTCCCGACTCACCTCGTGCACCTTTACCACCATCGCCCCCTAATTTAATTTTGGTGTCAGTTGACACCTCTGTACCTGTTTGTGTGGTGTACTTAGTAGGTATACAGATTTATACAGATGAGATTGTTACGATCCATACACTCATTACCTATATCAAAATATGAAACATAAATAATGTTGAGACAGTTCAGCGTGAAACCATGGGCAAACAAAATGCAACTATTCTTAGGCGAAAACTACTTTATCATAATTGGTCGAAATGTGGATGTAGATAAAAAGAGGAGAGTCGTTTTTGGGTGAAAGGGGTAGGTACTAGGTAAAATCCAAAATATATTGAATGGTGGGTTATATTTCGGATAATGGAAACTGGTATTATATCAACCCAATTTTTTTATAGGTATATGTAGTTATTGCTATAAATATCACATAAAATATCAGCCCCAAATATCGCCACCTTGGCCTGTCCTCCCCTGTAACATAGTGGTGGGCAACGGAGTGCCTGCAGAAATGGACAATGACGTAAATTTCAAATATCCAATCCATCATACTATAGGCCGTTTAAAGGGATACAGGAATAAGGGATATTCATTTCTATTTCATTTATTTTATCTTGAAGGTTATTGCCAGGGTTCGTATCACAATTTTGTAGGGTTTTCTGGTGCATTATTCATTTCAAATAGCTTAAATTTATCTTGTTCCAAATCAAAGTCTTGCGTTCATTAGGACAAAAATTTAAATCCACGGGACCCATATAATAATATATGGGATCCAACATAACAGCCCCTTTCAATGAAATTGCATTTATTAGACATATTATTGAATATTTGTCTTTACATGATGGTATCGTATCGATTTATACGCACAACAATATTGTAATTTGTATAATCTAATAACGCTGTAATATAGCAAACGTTGTTTGAAATCAAAATACAAAAGAATAATTACCAATAAAACAATATTGAAACAAAAAACCTTTTTTTAATATGGCATTCTTTACTATACACATAAAATAATAAAATATTTACAACAAATCCGCGTGAAAACACACTCGCCTTACAACTTACAAGTATATATTATATAATTATTATTATCATCATCATCATCATCATTATCATATTATCATTATATATAATAAATCATAACATTTTGCAAAATCATTTATATATTAATTGTACATAAACATATTATTTATAATATTACAATATATTATTATTACATACGACCAGATTATTATAATATACCTACCATCTATTATGGGATTTACGTTTGACGCAAAATAACTAGGTATCGGCCGTGTTGTAAAACACGTGCAGACTACGAAATTGTATGCGAAATTTAACATTTTATATATTATATAAAGAATAATAATAATAATAATAAAAATTCATAACTAGATATTATATACACAATATTATACACACTTTTTAATATTTTACCTACATAATTATTAATTATATTATAGAATATGAGTTAAGACAGATGCCGTTTGGTCAGCATCGTCCATACTCGGGTACTTTTAATATACAGTAATCATTAGGATTTAGGAATATTATTCTTCTACAAATTATATAGTCGGTACCTATATTATTATAATAGTTTTATACAGACAGTTTTTTATTACGTGGACAGTACTGTGACACCTCGTGTATCTAATCTAGACTAATCTAGTGATTCGAATAAAACCGGAAGATTATTATTTATTTATCATAACTAACACAGTGAGAAATAACACTTATATAAAATAATAGCTCTTTATATACCTACCTATATTTAATTCATATTTTAATCTATTCGCTATTGATTTGAAGTAGAATCGTTTATTAGTTTATTACATGATGATTGAATATTTGAATATATTATTGGTTATGACGTGTATGCTATGTAAGGTTAGGTTATGTCTATAAAACGGGTATACCTATTACGAACGACTGCACAAATCAAAACGATTTATATACTATAGGCTTTCTGTTAATTGATTTAAAAAAAAATAAAAAACGTATTTGATTTGTACGTGATTGTGCATGACGATAGCTACGGCTAGATATATCTTATATTATGCGACCGTCGTTGTAACGCTTATTTTATTGTGTCGATGTAATATATTATATACAGCACCTGTAGGTACATATAATGAATTGGCGCGATAATCATATTTTGTCGACAGGTGCGATGGGGGGTTACGGCCGTCGTATTATAATATTATATAGTTATCATCCCCTGCAGTAGCGCCAGTGATGTTATCTGATGCCATCATATTATATAATAACGCTGAGATCGAGTGATATCATTTTTTCTCATTTCACATATTTTCTCGTTATTTTATAATAACAATTAAACAATAATTAAATGGGGATGGGTGCAGGTATATTATTGCATATTATTTATAAATTATAGGTACCTACGTATAGATGGTATAATACATATGAAGTGTTATGCGATAGCGGTTACAGGAAAACAAAACAATTATTATAATAAAAAGTTATTTTTCGATTACCGAATCGAATATAAATAAAAAATGCTATACCCTATGTGTGTTTAACGGTAACATAAAAACAAAAATAAAACCAATCATTAATAAGCCATAATAATATATAAACCTGTATGGCAATATAAATAAAACAAACTTTAAAATGATTATAATAATAATATGAGCTCTTGATGAGGCGTGGCTACATAACCATCACCTTGATCAATTTAACTAGACATGCCACTTAAACGACTAAACGTATTCGAATACCTATCTTGAAAATAAATAAAAGCGTGTATTTATATTATATTATTATATTTTATAGAAACGGCAGAGCACTGCAAGTCGTGTGCCGCGAAGAAACGTACACATTATTATTAGGATTTTACGGCGTGCGTCTGCAAATTAATATTTTATGCATACATAGGTATAATACGTGTTATATTATATACAGATAAAGTAAAAGAGAAATGGCGTGTTTAGTTAAGGTAATATTGTAATAAGGTATGGTTTCAAACGTGTTATTATAGTATAATAATAAATATCATACATAAATGTGTAATAATATCATAATAATATACATTAGAAAAAAAAGAAAAAAGTCTGCAAAGGAAAACAAAACAATAACCTAAATAATAATATCATAATATATGACTAAAAAAACGTTTATTGTTATTATTATTATTATTATTAATTATTATAGTTCTTTTTGGGCGATGTATTTATTCGTTATTTATATAAATATATATTTTTTTGGTTGGTTCGATATGTATATAATATAATAGCCCATAAGCATTTGTAAATGCTATTCTTGCATATAATAATTATATGTATATAGGTATTTACAGTCACAATTTCGACAACAGTAAAAATAATAGGCAGTAACTAATAATAAAATTAAAGCTGTTTAATGTACATCGATGGAATTTTTCATCATGCTTGACACGATAAAATAAAATGTTTTATACGGTATAAAATCGTAATATATATTGCAACTCTCCCAGTCGTTTAAGTGGCGTGTAGACTAAAACGCGCTTAGGGCCTAATTTTTGGGACATTAAAAAAATATAATAATAATAATAATAATAATAATAATAAACAATAAAAACAAACAAAAAAATGATACAATAATAATGAAACGCATATAGGTAGTATAATATATAAATAATAATAATAATAATAAAATATATTATAATAATCGCTTGATGCCGTATTATAGTGTAGGTCATCGTGCGTCGAACACGTTTCTTGCATTATTATAATAATATAATATAATAATATGATCGGTGCAGGTGATACGGCGGCGATGGTGATGCGGTGGTTTGCTCTCGGCGCGCGGAAAAGGTGACGGTACGTCCGGTACCCGGCGGTGATGGCACGGCGTCCGCTTGTCGCGGCCACGTTAAAATGTTATTGTGTGGGTGGATATCGCATCGCACCCGTTGTATATTTTTAAGACGCGACGCGACAACGATCGGCTGAGTGTATATAGACTAAGCGGCGGCGCGGCATCACAACGGGGCGGGCGTGCCCGTCATCTGCCTCCAGACGGAGTGTCACATGGAGTTTATGTACGGCCAGCTGAAGCTGCTGCCGCTGAGCAGCATGTCCCGGATGAGCGTCTCGATGGGCGTCTTGCCCACTAGCCGGACGAAGAAGAGCTGCTCGATGACTTGCGAGCTGACCGTGCGCAGTGACGGCAGCCTGAGCAGCAGCTTGCCGAACCGGATCGGCTGGTTCGGGTACTGCGTCCGACAATACTCCTCCAGGGCGCACTGAGACTTTTCCTGCAGCGACTCGATGTGCGCCACGTCCGACAACCCGCATGCGTCTGTAAAACGGTAAGAAAGAAAATGATATTAAATGACGTTTAAAGATATGTATTTTAATTAGGTAGCTGACCTAAATAAGAAGTATATCATTACGTACAGGTATTAATTTTTCGTTATTAAAACCATGTCCTAGGAAATATATAACTCCCAATATGTCATAATATACCGGGGGTACGAATAACCTAGGAATTTTCTCGCCTGTTACGAGAATATTATTGTCGTTAATAATAGACGACGGACGATTTTAACGTGGCGTACAGCAGTACGCTTTCAAAGGAATCATAAAATATTAACGGATTTTAGACAATATAATTATGTGTACAAAAAATGATGTATTCTTTCTGTTACTAAACGAAAATGGAGAAAACCCGTCGTCGTATATAGACTAATCCACAGCGATCTCTGCTATAATATACTATTTCGGGTTTTTCAGCTTATCGACTACGACTTTAAGTTCGACCCGACTGATGTTTTTTTATCGACCGACCAGCTAACCGTAACGCATAGATAAAGCTGCAGCGACTTTCTGCACACATACTAATCGCCAACAGCAATAATATTATAATAATATAACACGCGAGCGCCGATATTTGTTTATGAACTCGTTCGGGCTGTCGCGACACCCCCGCTCAGAGTTCGTGGCCGCGAGCGAGTCATAATATATACAATAACATTTTAAATTTTTCGGTTGGTTCGGTGTGCGGTTTTGTTTTTTCGGTTTTCGAAAACCACGAGGCGACCCCGCGCTCGAGGGATGATTCTTTAATTAGGCCCCTCTGCAGCCCGCATTAGCATAAGAGGGATGACGCGCGACTGTAACGTACGTATGTGCGTACGGCCAAGCGTTATAATAATATTTGCCCCTTCGACTGGCCCTCCGCCACTCGTCATCCCCGCTGACGCCGCCGGGTCTTAAACGCCAAAAACTCGTGTGCGCGATCAAACCCTTCCCTTCTCGCCAACGTTCACCCCGAAAACATCGATTTCCATCACGAAACGTCATGGACGTCATCCTCGAGCATACTATTTTAGATGACGTATAGCTGATTGAAATATCTTATAAAAAAAAGTAGGTTTGTGTCCCCATCCCACGCCGCGAGGATGGATCCTCGATACCTATAACCTGTCTAAATATATTTTCCATGACCATTCCGCAAGGTGTTGCCTATATAATAAAATATTACATAATATTTATACAAAAGATATAATAATATTTTTTATAGAAATACTCAAGTCTCAAGTACCTATGGTCTTACGTATGTCTTGTCCGTGTATTATAAAGATTCTATTTAAGATTTTTCGGAGCTCAAAAGAAGTTGTATAATTGTTGGTTTGGAAGGTATTATACTGACGTGGAAAAACGTCCTGATCAAATAGGTATTATAATATAGACAATTTATTTAATTGAATCATAATATTATACTTTGGAATCAAAATTTGTTGGAATTATATTATTATGCAGTCGGATACGAATTCTACTGGAAACGTAATTTTATGGAAAATATACTGTTGGAAACATAATATTATGCTGTTAGAACTGTTATTCCAACCTGTTATTTTCATGGAAAACATTTCGTTGGAAATTTATATTATAATTAATATACCATGGTATTAATTTCTGATAAAATAAGGTGCTGATAGTGAATGCTAGTCCAACAAAATACTTTTGAATTAAATAAAATTCTAAAATAGTATTTACCAACGGCTTCAAACGAAATGTGAAAGTTTCCGAGTAAACAATTTACGGTAAAAATATACGTCGATATCAATATACCTACCTATAGATCCAGATAAATACAATTCACAAAAAATATTTGCCAAATTTCTAGTTTCCACGTATTCCAGCCAATATTATATCATACCCATAACAAATATATAGCCCCTCCTCCAAATTTCCGATTATACTCACTGCGGACTTGAACGTAGTTAAGTCATTAGGGTAAGATTTGGTTTTTTTTCGATATTTTTACCATCTAGTGCGCGTATAACTATGTTATTAGCAACATATTATTGGAAACTTTCTGGTCTCTACACTTGTGGTACCACGTGGTACCGTATGGTATGGACTATCATGGACATTGGTATACTCTGTAACATTGTCTACTTATCGCCGTCGCAGCTATCGTTGGCCCGTCTTATAGCACACCTAATGGACCGTTTGACCTCGGCGGGCGGCCAGGCCAGCCGTGCAGCGGAGCGGTAATCACTCAAATATTTCGTATCCATTATAATGTGTGTTTATGCGTGTTATATACGACGACGATAGCAGCTGATGACGTAACGCATAGTTTATTTAAATTAATAACGCTCGCGTGCTGGGCATCTTTTCTTATATATTATTTTTTTCATTCGATCGCTGCGGCGTTGACGCGTATTTCTTCTTTTTCTCTCTCGCAGGCTTCGCGTCTTTATAATAATAGGTAGGTATGTCGTACGCTGTCAGTGTCACCATATTATAATAGTATCGTAGCGTTCGCCGGGAGTGGTTTTTTCTTCTTATTTTTTTTTTTTAATTGTCACTACGCGAGTAGGTATATTATTATCTCAAATTATATTATTATTATATCATGTTTGCTATATTCTAGAGAGTGTCTAGAAGCGGCCAATTGCAATCGCTCGCGAAAGGGACCCATTAATTATCGTGGGGCGGAGGAGGAATGAAAACGTTACATATTTAACGTACCATATAATATACGACGTGACAATCGCGACGAAGACGCTATCGTGTACGTACACAATGCACTTTTTTTGTTATCATCGTATACGATTTTGTGAGCACCAGAGAAATGAGAATATCATAATAGTATATTATCATCGCTTCACGTGGATTCACGTTTTGTCAATCAAACATCGCCGCAGCCACTTACAATATAATATTATAAACATAATTGATAATAGTATAATATAATAATATAATTATTTTTATAAATGTGTGTATGTGTCATGTGTGTGTGTAGAAGTCGTCTCGCGTATGTCTCAGACGACGCAAATATTATCAATTACTGCGATTTTCGTTCAACCCGAACACGCCAGCGGCACGAGCGCATATAAATAATAATTCAATATTGTTCGTCACATATCTAGCTGAAAGTTCGAGACCGAGTGACTGTCACGACAACGCTATAACAGTATTTTATAATATACGGAAATCACGGTTACGAGAATATTAATAATAATCGCATCGCCGCCTTATGTATGTACTAATGTATATATATATATATTATATTACTACCGGGGGTAGAAAAAACGGGGTCGTTTCGGATAACGGCGTACATATACCAAAGGCTCGTCGCGGGCTGTCGCGATTAGTTTTTTGTTTCTCGTCCCCTATCTATATATATTATTATACGCACATTCAATACGTACCCACAACCCGCCGGCGACCCTATCACCCCTCCGCTGACTACAACTGCACTATGAAGGCCGCGGCGCATAATATTCGGTATCGTGCGGTCAGCTTCTCATCACCCACGACCGATATAATAATAATATAATATATACGTCGTCGTTATTATATTTTTAGATATCATATGTACGATAACGCAAATGTCGCGCCCCCCAAGTGCGTATATATAAGACCTAGCTATTCGACGCAGCACACTGAATTGCACGAAAACAGTTTTTATTAAACGTCAAATCGAGAGAGAGAGAGAGAGTGTTTGAGTGTGTGCGTGCATGTGTATATGTCCCCCTTTTCGCGTTTTTATTATTTGGATTATTTTTTTCGGTTACGGCGATTTTTCACGTCACTGGGAGATTTTGCGCGGTCGTCCGCTGCACGATACAATCTATATATATATATATATAATATAATGATGAAAACATAAAAACCATCTGGGGAAGAAGGAGCTTTTGATATAAAAATATTGTATAAATAATAATAATAGTCACCGCGGTCGGGGGTAGGTCGGGGGGTAGGTCGAGCTCAGGGTTATCGCTCGTATATATATATATATATAATAATATATAGTCATCGACTTTTCGACTCTTTGTCAATTAGGTCGGCGACGACAGTGGAGAACAGACTCGGGGGAATGGCGGACAAAAGTTTCGAGACTTTGTATCGTAACGTATATATATGTATATAGGTACCAAAGCCGCGGTGAGAGCGTTTTAAGCTAATTGCGAAATGAGAATAAAAACAATACACCGCGAAAGAGGAAAGCCGAGCGATTTCCCGTGTATATATAGGTACGGGATGGTATACCACCGCGTGAGAAGGGTCGTTGTATATTATGTATATTATTATTGTTATTATTAAAATATAATTCGAAAGGCGCGAAAACCCGCGGCAAAGTTCAAAACTTGGCTGGTCGCGGCGAATAGCATAATTTGCCTCGCAAGGTGACGTTGTCAGTGCCGCGCACGGCTAATAACCCGAAATGCGATTTGCATAAACATTAAAACAAAAACTTCGCCCGGGGAGGTTTTTTTTTGGGAATTGAATTATACAATTGACGCCACCGCGACAGCAGCACAACAGTAACGTTATAGTATACGCTTATATATATATTATATTATATAGTGTTATAATATTATATAGTCGTCGGGAATAAGCTGCCTGCACAGCAGTGCAATACAGGATATCTCGTGGGCGACCATAGCTGTTTCGGCTGCCAGAAGACGACGTTTGCGGCTGTTTGTACGTACAACACACCGTCAGCACTTGGCAACGAGCCCTCCTCTGCTTATATACACGACCGGCCGTATGTGTAATAATACGCGATTCGGGACTTTGCCACCGGGCCGGAGCTATGCTTACACGGCTAAGGCGTGGTGTTCGTCCGAGGGCGAGTCCCTCTTTTCTCCGCGGTGTACACCGCCGCCGCGTTACACCGGCCAACGATTTGTTCTGTATATATACAAACTAACCCTGCCATAATATATGTATGTCTATATACCACCTACAACTGTAGCACACATGTAAAGCTCGTTTTCGGGGTGTGTAAAGTTTCCACGATCGCCACTGCAGCACTATATACATACTATAATAGCATAA